CCCTTTTTTAAATAGCCTCCCAGACTTGGTTTTTTTGCACAGCTCAATAGTTCTTCCAATTCCCGGCCTTATGCAACCATCAAAATTGTACCTGGACACCTAGGTTTTCCAACCCGAACCCTAGCCTGGTGAAAATCCCTAACCCTACTATAGGGCAATTGTTCCATTCATAATAGTCCGATTTTTTAAAAAGCCTCCCAGACTTGGTTTTTTTGCACAGCTCAACATTGCTTCTCATTCCCGGCCTAATGCAACCATCAAAATTGTCCCTGGACACGTAGCTTTTCTAACCATAACCCTAGCCTGCTGCAAATCCCTACCCCTAATATAGGGCGATTGTTCCATTCAAAACAATGGGATTTTTTAAAAAGCTCCCCATACTTGGTTTTTTTGCTCAGCTAAACATTTCTTCCCATTCCTAGCCCAATGCAACCATCAAAATTGTCCCAGGACAGCTAGTTTTTCTAACCCTAACCCCAGCCTGGTGAAAATCCCTAACCCTAGTATAGGGCGATTGTTCCATTGAAAATTGTGCGATTTTTTGAAAAGTCTCCCAAAGTTCGTTTTTTTGCACATCTCAACATTGCTTCCCATTCCCGGCCTAATGCAGTCATCAAAATTGTCCCAGCACACCTAATTTTTCCAACCCTAACCCTAGCCTGGTGAAAATCCCTAACCCTAATATAGGGCGATTGTTCCTTTCAAACTAATGGGATTTTTTAAAAAGCCTCCCAGAGTTGGTATCTTTGCACAGCTCAACATTGCTTCCAATTCCCGGCCTAATGCAAGCCACAAAATTGTCCCAGGACGCCTAGGTTTTCTAACCCTAACCCTAGCCTGCTGCACATCCCTAACCTTAATATAGGGCGATTGTTGCATTCACAACAATGCCATTTTTTTAAAACCCTCCCAGACTTGGTTTTTTTGCAAAGCTGAACCTTACTTCCCATTCCCGGCCTAATGCAACCAACAAAATTGTCCCTGGACACCTAGGTTTTCTAACCCTAACGCTAGCCTGCTGCAAATCCCTAACCCTAATATAGGGCGATTGCTCCATTCAAAACAATGGGATTTTTTGAAAAAGCTCCCCATACTTGTTTTTTTTGCTCAGCTAAACATTTCTTCCCATTCCCAGAACAATGCAACCATAAAAATTGTCCCAGGACACCTAGTTTTTCTAACCCTAACCCTAGCCTGGTGATAATCCCTAACCCTAATATAGCGCGATTATTCCATTCAAAATAGTGCGATTTTTTATAAAGCCTCTCAGAGTTGTTTTTTTTGCACAGCTCAACTTTCCTTCCCATTCCCGGACTAATGCAACCATCAAAATTTTCCCAGGAAACCTAATTTTTCTAACCCTAACCCTAGCCTGGTGAAAATCCCTAACCCTAATATAGGGCGATTGTTCCATTCAAAATAATGGGATTTTTTAAAAAGCCTCCCAGACTTGGTTTTTTGCACAGCTAAATATTTTTTCCCACTCCTGGCCCAATTCAACCATCAAAATTGTCCCAGGACACCTAGGTTTTCTAACACTAACCGTAGACTGGTGCAAATCCCCACCCCTAATATAGGGCGATTGTTCCATTCAAAACACTGCCCTTTTTTAAGTAGCTTCCCAGACTTCGTTTTTTTGCACAGCTCAATATTTCTTCCCATTCCCCGCCTAATGCAACCATCAAAATTGTCCCATGACACCTGGGTTTTCCAACCCTAACCCTAACCTGCTGCAAATCCCTAACCCTAATATAGGGCGATTGTTCCATTCAAAACAATGGGATTTTTTAAAAAGCTCCCCATACTTGTTTTTTTGCTCAGCTCAACATCTCTTCCAATTCCCAGCCCAATGCAACCATCAAAATTGTCCCAGGACACATGATTTTTCTAACCCTAACCCTAGCCTAGTGAAAATCCCTAACCCTAATATAGGGCGATTGTTCCATTGAAAACAATGCCATTTTTTAAAAACACACCCAGAGTTCGTTTTTTTGCACTGCTCAACTATCCTTCCCATTCCCGGCGTGATGCAACCATGAACATTGTCCCAGGACACCTACTTTTTCTAACCCTAACCCTAGCCTGGTGGAAATCCCTAACCCTATTATAGGAAGATTGTTCCATTCAAAACAACGCTATTTTTTAAAAAGCTCCCGATAACTGGTTTTTTTGCACAGCTCAACATTTCTTCCGATCCCCAGCCGAATGCAACCATCAAAATTGTACCAGGACATGTAGTTTTTCTAACCCTAACCCTAGCCTGGCGAAAAACACTAACCCTAATATAGGGCGAATGTTCCATTCAACACTATGACATTTTTTAAAAACCCTGCCAGAGTTGGTTTTTTGTCACAGCTCCACATTACTTCCCCTTCCCGACTTAATGCAACCATGAAAATTGTCCCTGGACACCTAGGTTTTCTAACCCAACCCTAGCCTGCTGTAAATCCCTAACATTAATATAGGCTGATTTTTGCATACAAAACAATGCCGTTTTTTAAAAACCCTCCCAGACTTGGTTGTTTTGCACAGCTCAACCTTACTTCCCATTCCCGGCCTAATGCAACCATAAAAATTGTCCCTGGACACCTAGGTTTTGTAACCCGAACCCTAGCCTGCTGCAAATCCCTAACCCTAATATAGGGCGATTGCTCCATTCAAAACAATGGGATTTTTTAAAAAGCTCCCCATACTTGTTTTTTTTGCTCAGCTAAACATTTCTTCCCATTCCCAGAACAATGCAACCATCAAAATTGTCCCAGGACACCTAGTTTTTCTAACCCTAACCCTAGCCTGGTGAAAATCCCTAACCCTAATATAGGGAGATTGTTCCATTCAAAATAATGGGATTTTTTAAAAAGCCTCCCAGACTTGGTTTTTTGCACAGCTAAATATTTTTTCCAACTCCTGGCCCAATTCAACCATCAAAATTGTCCAAGGACGCCTAGGTTTTCTAACACTAACCGTAGACTGGTGCAAATCCCCACCCCTAATATAGGGCGATTGTTCCATTCAAAACACTGCCCTTTTTTAAGTAGCTTCCCAGACTTCGTTTTTTTGCACAGACCAACTGTCCTTCCCATTCCCGGCGTGATGCAACCATGAACATTGTCCCAGGACACCTAGTTTTTATAACCCTAACCCTAGCCTGGTGGAAATCCCTAACCCTACTATAGGAAGATTGTTCCATTCAAAACAACGCTATTTTTTAAAAAGCTCCCCATACCTGTTTTTTTTTGCACAGCTCAACATTTCTTCCCATCCCCAGCCGAATGCAACCATCAAAATTGTACCAGGACACGTAGTTTTTCTAACCCTAACCCTAGCCTGGTGAAAAACCCTAACCCTAATATAGGGCGAATGTTCCATTCAAAACTATGACATTTTTTAAAAACCCTCCCAGAGTTGGTTTTTTGTCACAGCTCCACATTACTTCCCTTCCCGACTTATTGCAACCAACAAAATTGTCCCTGGACACCTAGGTTTTCTAACCCTAACCCTAGCCTGGTGCAAATCCCTACCCCTAATATAGGGCGATTGTTCCATTCAAAACATTGCCCTTTTTTAAATAGCCTCCCAGACTTGGTTTTTTTGCACAGCTCAATAGTTCTTCCCATTCCCGGCCTAATGCAACCATCAAAATTGTCCCTGGACACCTAGGTTTTCTAACCCTAACCCTAACCTGCTGCAAATCCCTAACCCTAATATAGGGCGATTGTTCCATTCAAAACAATGGGATTTTTTAAAAAGCTCCCCATACTTGGTTTTTTTGCTCAGCTCAACATCTCTTCCAATTCCCAGCCCAATGCAACCATCAAAATTGTCCCAGGACACATGATTTTTCTAACCCTAACCCTAGCCTAGTGAAAATCCCTAACCCTAATATAGGAAGATTGCTCCATTCAAAACAATGCCATTTTTTAAAAACACTCCCACAGTTGGTTTTTTTGCACAGCTCAACTTTCCTTCCCATTCCCGGCGTGATGCAACCATCAACATTGTCCCTGGACACCTACTTTTCTAACCCTAACCCTAGCCTGGTGGAAATCCCTAACCCTACTATAGGAAGATTGCTCCATTCAAAACAACGCTATTTTTTAAAAAGCTCCCCACTCCTGGTTTTTTTGCACAGCTCAACATTTCTTCCCATCCCCAGCCGAATGCAACCATCAAAATTGTACCAGGACATGTAGTTTTTCTAACCCTAACCCTGGCCTGGTGAAAAACACTAACCCTAATATAGGGCGAATTTTCCATTCAACACTATGACATTTTTTAAAAACCCTCCAAGAGTTGGTTTTTTGTCACAGCTCCACATTTCTTCCCCTTCCCGACTTAATGCAACCATGAAAATTGTCCCTGGACACCTAGGTTTTCTAACCCTAACCCTAGCCTGCTGCAAATCCCTAACATTAATATAGGGCGATTGTTGCATACAAAACAATGCCGTTTTTTAAAAACCCTCCCAGACTTGGTTTTTTTGCACAGCTCAACCTTACTTCCAATTCCCGGCCTAATACAACCATAAAAATTGTCCCTGGACACCTAGGTTTTGTAACCCGAACCCTAGCCTGGTGAAAATATCTAACCCTAATATAGGGCGATTGTTCCATGCATAATAGTGCGATTTTTTAAAAAGCCTCCCAGACTTGGTTTTTTTGCACAGCTCAACATTGCTTCCCATTCCCGGCCTAATGCAACCGTCAAAATTGTCCCTGGACACTTAGCTTTTCTAAACATAACCCTAGCCTGCTGCAAATCCCTAACCCTAATATAGGGCGATTGTTCCATTCAAAACAATGGG